TCGCGCTCGAAACGAGAAACTGGGGGAGTTCTCTACCGGGTAGGAGTTTAGCGAATTTTCCATAGAAAGTTTACTCGATATCAAGGCTCGCCAGCCGAACGAAATCGCGTTACAAACGACGCTTCTAGTTCCGCTAAAAATTGCTCTCGATGTTGGAAAAACAATGGCACGAGTACGCAGAAATCAGCCGCGTCGTACTCGCGGTTACTTTTTAACGAGTTTAACCGAAATGAAATTTCACGGGGCGATAGCGAGCTTCTACACCGTGTGGAAGTGCAGAACCGTGTGTATCAGCGTGAAATGGCACAGTTGGAGCTGGAATTGGCCAGATTGAAGGAACAATTGGCACAGGAGCCGGTCGAACCATCGCACGCTTCGTCAAGCGCGTCGATTCCAAAACGCAATCCGAGCATCGGGGGTGGTCTACCTTTGTTATTGCTCAGTGTACTCCCGCCGGTCATCCCTAGGGCTAGCTGGCCGTCCGCGGATTCATCCGGTGAGTGAAACTCTTCGTGACATACTCCAAGATTCGTTGTGCAAAGAAAATTCCCGTTCCGTATCGCGTTGATCCACGAATTTCTTAGAGTCGGCGCGAACAATCAGAGGTGTCGAAATGAAACTTCTTCTTTTCAACGTTTCAAATATTTGCACGATGAATAAACATTTTGTACGTACAAGGAGAGAAAGAAGGAACGATACATGTAATTAATATTCTTCACGCTTCGTCATCCTTCCATCCGTTCAGGTGTTCGAGAAAGGTGACAGAATTCCGTTTATTGCACGCAATTGATGCTTGAACGATTCTGTGACGTTTATATGCTTGTATCTTGATGACTTGGGAAATGGACTTTTGAAACGACGATAGAGGGAACTAGATTTTGGGATAACCAAATCTCTCCCGACATACATACTACGTACACTTTTTCATGGAAAATTGCATGAAAATTCGAATTGCGATGCAACGTTTCTCCCCGTGTATGTTTATTGCATAGTTTCGAGTTTACGAGCTTGTCGATTTGAAGCAGCAGTCTGATCGGTAAGCAAGGGATAAATTAGTATTACTCTTCAGACTGCTACTTTAGATCTATTTTTTTAGAAAAAAAAAAAAAAAAAAATGACAGTGAAAACACAGCTCGGATTGTTAACGCGACATCGGCCTATATTTACCGGCTTGCAGAAACGGTTTATACATTTCTGACATTATTAATTGCTATTCGAGACAACTAGACTGCACTCGCATCTCCCTGAGCCTCCGAGTCCCAAAACCCCTTGACAACTTCGAACAAGTCCCTGACAGTGGTATGTGTGTACCATACAGGTCCGCCTCTGCACGCTAAATTGCACGTTTCACCCAGCGTTTCGGAATGCATTGACGTCCAGCTAAATAGAATCGATAGACAAACTCTCGACGGTCAGTTCGTTCAAGTGTGTAAACAGTTAAAACAGAACTCCCATGTTTATTCTTTCGGGCAATTGTTCTAAAGCACCGTGGAGCTTGTCGATCGAATATCGTCACTTGGACTCATGGCGCGCGCACACACACGGCATTCGCATCGGACCGAGTTAATTACCATGGTTTCGTTCATAAAGTTCTCGCGAAATCTATCGCGTTCCCGTGTGAAAGGTTCTCCTCCTTCCTCTTCTACTGTCTCGTCTTACTGTTACCGCCTGCTTTCGCTTCTTTGCGATGCGTTTCGATTGTCGCCCCATTCGCGCGAATCTCGGTAAATTAGTTGGCTACTGACTCGTCTTCGACTTGACTCTTCCTGAAACTAGGGATACGACGAGGTACCGTAGCGTTTAGCAGTCAACCAGACCTGGAACCGAACGGACCAAGGAGAAGTCTCGCGGACATTTACAAACTCCATCGACGAAGAGAAACGGAAGGACCAAATCGTTTGGGTGTTTTTCAGCGACTTTTCAGCCTTTTCGGCAGTCGTCCTACCAGCAGAAAAACCTCCACCGCCTCGTTTACAGGTAAACGACGTAAAAATGATAAGGAGGACAGTGTACGATTAACCGTATCACGATATCCCCATAGGAGTAGCATCAGCACTGAGGGTTCACATGGGCTACATCACAGGCCTGGTACCAGGCTCGAAAGCAGCTTCTACCTGTCAAATGAATGCCCAAGGCACTCGTTCGTCTCATCCACGATGTGGCTCAGGACCAATAATTAGTATTACTAGCGAAGAAGATCGGAGATTGAGCCTGGGGCTACGTCGTAAAGAGAGCAGCGAGCCCAGAGTCAATTTTAGCCTACCGCCCAGTAAGTATACTCGAACTGTGTTCATTTCCATTTGGCGAACGAAACGAATGTCCTGTAACGCACGGGATCGATATTGTTTGCAGAGGCGAGCACCAGCCAGACGTCGTCGCGGGAAAAAATTCGTGGATCGCCGCGGTTTCCTCATCGGATAGTGCCGGCGAACAGTTTGAACGCGATCGCTCCAGGATCCTCGATCTCGAGATCCCACCGATGGCATTCCATGGAAGATGCGAGAAAAACGAAAGCCATTCAACTCCCTCGTGGCTCGTCCTGCAGCCCTAGCTGCGACGTGTGGACCACTCGCGAACTTGGAATTCCATTAAGCGAACTGGGAAACAGTGTTCGGGGCAAAAAGGCCCCGGAGTCGTTAGCCTTAACCGTTACAACAACCACGGAGTCCAGTGTAAATTGTCACGAGACAAAGCTCGACGATAATTCGAGAAAGCACGATAACGTTAGTCCTGCTGGATCAGAGATGAAAATCACCCGATCCACGTCCTCTTCGTCCTCGTCGCCGACAAACACCAGGACATCGAGTGCCACGAACGACGTGTCCCTCTCTAGAAACGGGTCCTCATTGGAATCTGGCCATCCAGAGACCGGTGCAAACTTTCTTCAGGAATCTGAATCTTCTCGACCCTCGAGTCCCGTAGTTCGTGTTTATTTCACTAGCGCCGATGTCCCCGAAGAGACGGACGCGTCGTGTGAAAACGAAAGATCATCGACTGCCGCGTAGAATAAAGAAAAAAGGAAAAAGGAATTCCTGTTAAGATATTCTTCCCTCCTTTGCTAGCTCACTCCTGGCACGTACGTTCTTGATCGAGAGGATAAGTGAGAGATGAAAGGGCACAGGTAAATTGTTTCCGTAGAACACGAGACACCTAAAGATATCGTGGTTTCTCCTTTTTCTCTTCCAATCTTCTTTCATCCTGTTACTCTTTTCCTTTCTTTTTTTTTTGCTATTGAACAAACAAACAAACAATTCATCCGTGTACGTGACAATCTTCAGTAACCGTGTCCACGGGAGATCAAGCTCAAGTTGATTGTGCGAACTTTGGTTTCGTGCGAGGGTCAAGAACCAATTACCGTTTATATTTAATCGTGTGTGTTCTGTAGTAATTGTGCCAAAAGGACAAAAGTACGGGGCCCGTAAAAGTATACAGCTGATCGACTTTATGGATTACGGAGGGACCAAATTATAACGAATAAGTTCTTCTTTTCGTTGCACGAAATTATTACCAATCGATGCTCCTGTTTGTGAAGAAAGTTCGCTGAAAGATTTCGCGTTTGGCGCATTTAAACCGTGAAACACGATTCTGATTGTATTTTTTCATTGTTCCGGTATCGGTTCGTACACGTTGCACGACTAAAATTGTGTAAAGTCGTGAGAAAGCAAGCTGAGAGTACTCTTACAGGTCCAACGTTAAAGTGTTCAGTGCCCCGAAACCCTTCCTTAAGTACCTGCACTCGATGTAATACATAAATATCTCTACGTAATACAGAATCATGAGAATAAAATGAAAAAGATGTTGGTTTCTTCTGTAAAATCTTCAAGTGTGATGTATATACCGATATTTTCACGCTAACGCGTACAAAAAGTACGTATAATAAATATGTAGATAAAAGAGAAACAAGAGGAAACAGGTTCCCACGTTTCGTACCACGAGTATCTCGATGTGTCAATCGTTGAATCACCAACTTACCACTAAGCAATAATCTTTGTCGGTGCAATTCAAAAATTGTGTAATAAAGGGATATGCATATATGTATATGTGTATTCTACCGATTTATTGTAAATTGAAATTATTTCCATTCTACCGAGGATACGTAGGTATAATTTTCAAAGTAAATCAGAATATTTTATTTTCGTCTATTTTTAGGTACAACGATGCATATGAATTAGTACAGTACAAAAAGTTATATCTTTTTAAAACAGAGCAATTATTTACATTATGTTGCAATTGAAATTGCGGAATTTGGTAGATGCGAAGAATGCAGTAGACACAGTCGTCCATGATCGAGTATGAAATTTTCAATGAACGTTAGGCTGCAAGATTTCACCAGAAATAATAGAAAAAAAAAAAAAAAACGGAAAAGGAACAAATCTTAACAATGTATAACCACCATGTATATGATAAAGTAACTTGACTATATGAATATACATTAAGAAAGCAATTCTAACAAAATAAATTATACATTTGTCTACAATTATTTGTATATATTTACAAAGATACTACACTCCACGTTACTTAAGAAACATTAACACATTGCGTTCAGCTCGTAAAATATATACCTATTGCTACAACAAAACGATAGAATCATGTAACAACTTGTAACAAAAACAAAAAGAAAATGTTGAAACGTAAAATAATTAAAAGTGAAATACTCGAAAACGTGGATTAAGGAATTTTTAAAAAGGCATGCAACATGTGATTAACTTAAATACCATACGCAATGTGTTAACACCTTTATTGAGCTGAGCATTAATAGAAATTTACTTCCATACCCAAGACAAAGAATCGATTCGCCTCATCCCGATACTGTTATAAAGTAACTAACGATACTTTGTTTTACTAGTCTTCGCTATAAAAAGGACAAAGAAAAGGAAAGAAAATGTTTTCTCGTTGCTTAAATACGAAACGTTAAAATCACAGATTCGGGATCGTAATAGTTAAAATTGGAAATTACTGAGTATAGACTATTTTCCGACTGACTCCTGATTCGAAAGTCGTGCCTCCATTAGCTATATGGTTGCCTGAAACAACATACACGGTATGTGGTAGAGGATTAAAAAAATGATATTCAAAGTGGATGAAAACGTAATACTTACAGTAATTTTTTCCAATATAGTTTCTGCCGGTTTATCTTTACGAACGGGTTCTTTTGGACTGGTTTTTACCGGTGTTCGCTTCTCTTCTTCCGATTCGCTTTTCTTCTCTGGACTCTTCAAAGCGTTTTGCGCCTCTATCCTCTTCCGGTTTAGGAATGCCATACCGTGGACTCTCAGATGTTTATCCACCGCTGCCTTGTCTTCGAAAACAGCCATACAAACGTGACACTGATTCGCCTCGATAGACTTTCCAGCCGTCTCGAGTTGGTCGACGTTGTCTGGAGCGTAGGATGTATTTTGGGTCATGTAGGTAATGGGATCCTCTATCCCATGGAAAGCTTTCAGATGCATTTGCAAACTAGGTACAACGACGAAATTGTCTCCGCATTCCAGACACACCAAATATCGACCTCTGATCCTGTGATTAGAGGCAATATGCTCCCTCAAGTCTGCCATATCGGAGCATCGTTGATCACATTTCTTACACCTAAAATTACCCTCGCTATCTTTGGCCGTCTCTTGTTTCACGCATAATCCAACACCCGTGAAACTCGCATTTTTCCCATCGCTATACTTCTTCGGATTCCATCGTCGTCTTCTCTTCGAATTCGACGCGATGCTGTCAGACTTACGTTTTCTATTACCTAGCAAATCTTTATAGCCGCCGTTAATAAAGTCTGGCGACATTCGTAGCAAGTCCGTGGTTAATGTCGACAGTTTGCAGTCTTGTAAATGTTTCCTCTGAAAGTGATTGCTTATGATCGATTTGGACGTGTTTATCAATTCTCCGCACCAATTGCACGAAAAATTGAAGATCTCCTCCGAATTGTCCGAATCGTTCAGAGCAATTCTTTGTGGCAACTCGCGATTCGTTTTCTGACCGCGAGATAATACCGTCGTCTTTCCTCCTTTCGCTGGATGTGCAACCTTCTTCGAGCGATTCAGTTCGAACGATTCACATTGAGGAATCCTAGCAAGCGGAGGAGGTCTCGAGAATGGTGTACGTTGTACACCTTCAATTTGTTCCTGAATTTGCATACTATTCCACAGATCGATCGCGTTCTCTGTTTCCATCTTTTCTATCTTCGCTAATACTTCCTTTTCCAAAATTTCACCTTCGTTCTGCTCTTCTTTAATTTTAAGAAAAGACTCTTGTTGAAGCGAATCAACGCTCAACGTATCTGGCTCCGATTTAATTGCTTTGCTACAACATGCACTCTCGTCCGTATCTTTCGATTGAATCTCTACCACTTCGATTTTCCCCAGCGTCATTTTCTTCGAACTTTTCGCCTGTTTGGCCTTTCTGTTCTGTTCGCTTTTGCATTTAGAATTATTCGACGTTAGATTTGCTATCGATCGAACGTCCAGTATCTTGAGTAACGTTTTCTTCGAGTCTGTCGACGGTTCTGATTTAACTTTAACAACAACTTTCGGAGACTGTTGCGCATCGTAATTGACTAAATAATCCTCCGACTCTTGGGCTCCACTTTCGAATACCTCAGATGTGATAGTTCTGGTGTTGATAATTTTAGGCATAACAGTCCCGTCCTCGCAGGACCTCGCATCTGCATTCGTGAATTTATCGTCCTGCTGTGCATTATTCGTCGATAAATTTGCCGCGGTTTCCACTTGTAATACGTTTCTCAATACCTCGGAACTTATCAGCTCTTTCAGACGTGCCATATGTCCAGTTTGTAAGTGAGACATTATTCGTTTTGTTTCTACGTGAATAAACGTGCAAAACGGGCATTTGAACCATATCAATCTTTGAACGACTAAATGTTTCTCCATGTGTAACATATACTCTTCGCAGCGCACGATACATCGGCCAAGTTTGCATAATACAAGTCTTATAGGATGACAATCGTCCGAATCCGGGTGTTTATCTTTGTGATGTTTCCTATACTCGGAATACGAGGGTAAAACAATGTAACATTTGTCGCATGCTATCTTATTATGACTGTGCATTATAGCAAAGTGCCTGGCGACAGATTCCATATCCTGAAAACCATCCACTTCGCAAATTTTGCAACCGAGAGCACGCTTTTTCAACGTGTGAAAGCAAGTAGTCCATGTGTGCAATTCTAACGATCTGAACGTTGTAAATTTACGATAACAATCTGGGCATAAATACGGCTTTTCTTTGTCGTGAAAAGTCTGATGGGACACGAAACGCGTCGAATTGCCTTGGTACGTGTGACACTTGTGACACACGTGCCTATAACAGGAACAGTAATTATCATTTTTCGCAGGCTTCGAAAACCCCGGAATATAATACTTGGGCTTCGTAATTTTATTGCACGCTTTACAAGTGGACTTTTCGTCCGTACGCTGATATTCAGATTCCCATTCGTTCAATTGTACGTCTTTTTCGATCGTATCGTCAGTTTTGTCAATGCACTTATCGATACAATGTTTCAATACAGTCTGTAAGATATTAACGGCTTTCAAGTTTTCTTTGATTACGTTATCGGTTACAAAATTCATGACCTTCAATATTTCCTCACCAATCTGTTGCAAATGTTCGTATCGTTTTTGCAATTCCGGATAAGAGAGATGAAAGAATTCGTTTACCATTTCTTGCTTGCATTTCGTTATCATCGTAGATGTATCGACAATCGTATAGATTGGTTTCTGGTTGAGAAATTTTACGTCCAGATAAAGATTCTCGTCTTCACCTTTATGGAACGACAAACTTTCGAACGAACTCTTCGTATTATGCATGGTAACGCCAATGTCTCTATGTACGCCAGTTAAGTAAGCTACGTCAACCTTCTGAGAACTCTTTATTAACGAAGAAGGCTGCTTTGATTGAACATCGCAACTAGAACTGCTTGATAATTCTGACGGAGATGGCGAAGGCGTTAAAGGAGAAACATCGCCATGAAGCGAATTCATTCTTTCTTGATTCGATATATTTTCTATATCAACAGGATTTAAGGGTATCAACGGTGGGATACTATTTGTAGATTTTGATTGCACTGTTCCCTTTACATTTCTTATCGGAATTATTGCATTCGGCACACTTTTTGAATGTTTAGTAGTACCTGACGACTGTTTGATAATGTACTTTCGTCCATTTTGATATATAACTTTATTCGTGAATGATCGAGTTTTATTTTTTATAGTCTCCACGTGATTCTTCGAAACATTTTTATTGGAGTTTTTATTAGCCCGAGAGAGAACTTTCTGAATCTCTGGACCCTTTTTCGTTTCCAACAGTTTCTCATTTTCATCAGGTACTAAGGGAACTGCTGTTTTAGAAGGTGATTCTTGTTTACTATGAACACCTATAGTATCAGAATCTTGTCCAATAAAAACAATCTTTTTGCTGTTAATTATGTGAGGTGGTAGCTGATTGATAATTGTATCAATATTAACATGCTTTGTGCTTTGAAACGTGACAACTTTTTGACCAGAATTTACCGTTAATGTATGTACATTTTGCTTCAATTTATCTAACTTAGTTTTACATATATCCATTTTTGTTGCACAAGACCTATCAGATTGTGTCTTAGACAATGGTTCTATAATTAATAAATTTGGTTTGCTTATATTTTTATCAGATTCTACTTTTACAATATTGCTTTCTGTAACTACCTTAATTGGTGTTGTACTTTTGCTAGATTTATGTGTTATGTTTTCCCACGACCGTTTATCAGTAGGACATTTAGCAAAATCTTTAACATTGCGTTTAGGTGTGATCATAGTATTGCCATAAGACATAATCATATTAGATGAAATGCGATTCAGATGTGCTGTTCTATTCCTTTTAAGCTTACTAGTAATCACTTTTGAAGGTCGAAAAACAGTGAAAGAATCTTTCACTGCTTTTACAGAGGCTGTTGTACATTTCTTTTTATTGTTATTTAACGGAGTTTTGGGTTCAAAGTACTTTGTTGTAGGTCCACAATCGACAAAAGCAATGTCATTTACTGTACATGGACTATCTTCATTTTCAATCACACTTTCATCAGAGATGGAAGTTGTGGTATCTATAGAAGATGAACTTGTTCTTTTGTCAACATTTTCCACAGAATCAAGAATCTCAATATCAGAATACATGCTGCTGTTGTTTGATGTAGAATGAAAAGAATTTAAAGTAGAAAACTGCTCATCCATTGGTATTTCTAATGAATTAAAATAAAATCGGCCCTTGTAACTCTTAATAATGTGAGTGACTGAATTGTCAATATATTCTTCTTTAGTAGAAGCTAACTGCCACCAATTTTTATCGATGTTTTTATGTTTTAACCAATCCATTATATGAACTTTCATTACAAATGTATGCTCCATGAATGCTTCACATATTAGATCTACTTCAGGACTCCAATCGTGATTTATATTCGTTGGTAAAGGCATTAACATTAAGTCACCCATGTCCACTAAATCTACATTATGAGTTTTCAAATGTGCAAAAAATTGGCACTGATTATAAAAAATTCTGACTACTCCAAATTTTTGCCTCTTACGTAAACCTCTGCTTCTTAAATATAAACGTTTCTCACGATTTGATTGCATACATGTTGAACATAATGATCCTTCTGTAGGACTGTGTCTACAAACAGTCACGAAACATTGTTGACACCAATATCCCAATATCCAACTCTTCCTTGCAATATGGTCTTCCAAACTGCTTCGAAAATAGAAGCTAATACAGAAATAAAATTTTGATATTAAGACATCTCAAAATTGCTTTTAAATATAACATTAACTATTGTACAATGTTAAATAAAGAAAAGATATTATAACGCTTGAAACATGTTGATGAACTTACCGGTCTTTGCATTGTGCACACATATATAGAGTCTCACATTGTGGAACATATTCCTTCACAATAGGAGGTGGTTCTCTTGGCACATAAGGTAGTGCCTGTGTTATGAAAACAGCATTTTTCACTGCAGTATAATATTTCAGACCCCACCTAGTTCCAATTCTTCGGTTCTTTCGTAGTTTTGGCATGAGATTCTAATGATTATGTGTTACAGTATTTAGAGTATCCTACAGATATGATACATGAGCATCAAATTGATACTTCAAAATTTATAAATAAAGGGAGAACTTTGATGTAAATTACAGTTATTACACAATTATTTATACCACTGTGTTCAAAGGCAGTGAAATGCTGTTACTTTTGCTGATACAGTAATAACATGTCTTCTACACCATTTATCATATACTTTTTCATGACATACAATGAGTACAATACAGCACTAAAGACTCAGAGAGCACTATGTAAAATTTATTCACAGTTGTGGCACTAAATCTCACCATAAGTTACGCCTGTTGTGTATCTCTTTTGTATCATACAATGTATTAACACAACTTAAAACATTGTTAATCAGAAAACCACCATATTCAGCCATGATATGTTTTGCTGTTTGCAACACGTCGGTAAAACAGTGTCGGTACACAGAGCTGCCATCGCGGCAAACGGTTGAAGTAATATTAAGATATTTACTAATACTAAATGCATACAAATATATTAAAAGTTTTGCAATAATTTCTAGAATCCTTTCAGTATTGTTGATGCATGCATATTATTTTACATGACTATAATCATTGAAAGAAATTACAATATCCTCATCAATTCAATACAGTTACAAACACTTAAGCCATATTGGAAGATTGTGTCCAAGCACCTTTCTCTATGTAGGCCCTGGAAACATATAACATATTATATTCAATTTGTTGAAACAAAAAGGCAAGGATTATTCTAATGAGAAAGAACACTACATTTAACAATATCATATTCTACTACAGTTCTCTTTTAAATACAATGTACATGTTAAACACAGTTTGCAGTTTCTTAGTTACTTATCTGTATAACAAGGGCAACTATTCTATTTTAAAGAGATTGTTATAAGGGATGTATAAGTTACTTGTATTATAAAATGTAATGGACAGTTGAAACATAATAATACATTACATATTTTTACACAGATGAGAGCTATGTCAATAATATGTAGGACACTGATCAATTAGTATATTCTTAATATGTCTTATGACTGCTCTTAATATTAATAATATATAAGAATTTCAATATATTACTTAATTAACAATTCAGTTAAATTCTTTAATTAGTAATAGTTGATCAAAAATGTGATATCATATAAGGTAAGGTCAAACTTGAAGAATAATCAATCATAAAACTTAATAATGATCAGTAAATAATGAATTATATTCTAAGAATAGTACTTTTAACCAAATGATATTAACCATACAAATTTACAAATTACTAATTTTTTCAAGAACAAAACTACAT